GTGTATTAACAGGAGTTGCATATGTAACACATGGAAGATAGTTATCCCATAGGCTAAATCTACACTGCAGGCTTCTTGCGCAAGAACAGCTGTTCTTGTGCAAAAACTTGGGGAGCGTCTACACTGTGCACACGTTCTTGCACAAGTAAATTTACAGTAAAGCATCGGAATAGAGGGATTCTTGCACAAGAGTTATTCCTTTCCCCACGAGGAATAAGCCCTCTTGAACAAGAAGGCAGTGTGGACGGGCAACAGATGGCCATCAGAGCTTTCTTGCACAAGAGAGCATCCACACTGCCATGGATGCTCTTGCGCAAAAGCACATCTCCTGCGCAAAAGCATATGGCAGTGTGGACACACTCTTGCGCAACAATTTTTGCGCAAGAACTCTTGTACAAAACAGTTCTTGTGCAAGAAGCCTGCAGTGTAGACGTAGCCATAGTGTTTATTCAGCAAGGGTGAGGCCTCTACTGAAATCCAGTTCTGAGCACCATACATTTAGAAAGATGTGGGTAAATTAGAAAGAATCCAGAAGAGAGCAACAAAAATATTAAAAGGTTTAGAAAACCTGACCTATGCAGAAAGGTTAAAAAAATAGGTTTGTTTAAACTTAAGAAAAAAGATTTGATGAGACAGACAGACCTAATAACAATCTTCAAGTTTATAAAGTCTGTTACAAATGGGGCAATAATCAGTTGTTCACTATGTCCTTTGCAGTTATGATAAGAACTTAGCAGCAGCAAGACAGATTTAATGTAAATATTAGGGAAAGCTTTTTAATTATGAGAGTAATTAAGTTCTGAAATAGGCTTCCAAGGAGGGGCTCTAGAATCCCTATCATGAAAGGTTTCGAAGAACAAGTTAGACAAAAGCCTGTCAGGGTTGGGCTAGGTATGCTTAGTCCTGCTTCAGCATTGGGGGCTGAATCAGATGACCACTTCAGCTCCTTTTCAGCTCTACATTTCTGTGATTCTGTGACTACACAAAATCTTTTGCAGTTTACTCTCTAAGCCCAGTTCTATACTAGGACCTTATCCCAAAATACACCCTCCCCCAGGTTGAATTTATAAGTGGAGCATCCACACTACCAAGCCCATTATTTTGTAATTCATACTCTGTACTCCTGCTTTTCACAAGGAGTAACACTAATTCAGAAATAGTAATTTTGAAATTACGGTAGTGTGGAGCACCAGTGCCGCTAATTCGAACTTATTGGTCTCCAGAAGGCCTCCCATAGCTCCCCAAAGTGCTTCTGGGTTTCTAAGTCCAAGGGAGTGCATCCACATTAATGAGGCCTGCCTGGGACTAATTTCGATGCTTCTCCATAGTGAGAATTTGTTGAGTCAGGAGTTCTTAAGTAGAATTTAGTAATTTTGAAATAGTTTCCTAGTGGATACATGGCCTAAAAGCAAACTCTAGATTACTTTTGGAGATTCATAAATGTTATTCATGACAGGAAACAATTATGTAGGTTTTACAGCAAAGCTCATTTTGTCATGATTTCTGGTCTTCATGAAATTCCACTAAAAAGACTGTGGCCATCATTGATACATGAGGGTGATAACTTCTAACCGAAATAAATATTTTCTTTTCCCTTCAATAAAAATTGAAAACCAGAATCAAGTTAACACAGAGATGACATAGAGTGTGTTTATGTCTCCCACTGTCCTCATTTTCAAATACTTCGAATTGTCATATCAATGATGTAACAAATGTAGTGTTAGAAATGTGCAATGAGTACTTTCTACAAAGCTGTATTTCTAGAGCATTTTCACAATTTATTTCTTCATTTTTTTCACAAGGAGTAATGCTAATTCCGAAATAGTAATTTGCACAACTGTCTATCTACCTTCCTTCCATCATTTGGAGACTAAGGGGTGTCCAGACTACCTAGTTTTGTCGACAAAAGTGGACTTTTGTCGACAAAACAATACCAGTGTCTACACTACCGTGGAGTTCCGTCGACATAATGTCGACAGAACTCCGCGGTTTTGTCGACGCTGGTATACCTCATTTTACGAGGCATAACACTTTCTGTCGACAGAACTCTGTCGACAGAAGGTGTTTTGCCTCGTAAAATGAGGTATACCAGCGTCGACAAAACCGCGGAGTTCTGTCGACATTATGTCGACGGAACTCCACGGTAGTGTAGACACTGGTATTGTTTTGTCGACAAAAGTCCACTTTTGTCGACAAAACTAGGTAGTCTGGACACACCCTATGATGAAAATAGAAGGAAGGTAGATAGGCAGTTGTGCAGGAAGAGGCTGTATAAAGCTTTTAGCTACAATTTAACATAACAAAGAAGTTGAATTTAACCTGTAGTCCACAGAAAACGTTTATGTTTTAGGTGGACCAGGAAAGAACATTTGATACTGAGGTCTTCTTTAGTAAGAATTATAAAAATTACATCAGTATTCTGAGCTGTTCATTTGGAATTCAGCTTGGAATTCATTTTAACCCAGCTTTTTGGGGCAGAATTCTGATTTCACTGATTGTGAGTTTTGCTCTAATTTTTTCTTTCCTTTGTGCTGCAAAAAGAATGCATCGTATATCTGTCTTATTTTTGATGTGCCTATTTCATTAGTATTCAAGTACCTCAAAATCACATTTTCTAGAAGGCTTTTCACCTTTATGTAAGACCTTTTCTTTTGGCCTGGGCAGCTGGATATAATCCAGGAATAATGGGAGCTTATGGCCATATATGTAAATTTTTTTCTGTCAGGCTGAACTAAGTAACCTGTCTCTTTCAAAAGTATTCATCGTTATCATAATAAGGGTACTGCCAGGTTTTTTTGCCCCCTGTGTCTTTCCATCTGCATATCCAGTGACATCTGTTTGCAAAGATCAGTTTTTTTATTGGGTCAGATCTCATGAGCTCAGAGATTATTTTAATAACAAACCCCATGGAGTCTCTACTTTCAATCAGGGTAGAAATCCCCTCACTTTAATATTCTTTTTCCTTTATTGGTCATTGATTATCTTTAACCTCTTTTTAGCCTGTCACTGAGTTCATGCTGCACAGGCTCTGAAGAGATTGTTCTTTTTGTGTTCTGCCTCAAAACTCTTAGCTATGACTAATTTTCGTTCCACTTCTCTGATTTTTTTAGTCCTTTAATCAAAGGACACTGTTCCAGCTTCCCCTTCCTTACCCATTTTGTTTATTAAAAGCTTCCAACAGTTATTTGATGGCAGTCTTGCTAGTGTTAACTGTGACACCAGGCAGAGTGAAAACAATATGGTACTCTTTCAGCTCCAAGCCAAGCTGGACAGCATGGAACGAAAAAATGATGTTTCACAATGGTTTCAGTTTTGTGTCTGTCTTGCCACAAATCTCTGTGCCTTTAGCTGTGTAACATAAGCAATTAGCTGTTTAGTTGGAGGAGCAGAGACATTCCATGTTATTAGTCTCAACAAGAGAAAAGCAAATTCAGGATATGCCTGACATTATTCACTGATCATCAAAACTTTTTGAACAAACCTTCTTTGGTTCAAATTCATCCCTTTTTTAAGCAAGCATAGCTGCATTGAAGGTGAAGGATTTCTTATAGCCTGTTTTGGGGGGGTGTTACTATTTATTCTTTTCTGTTATATATTATGTACTTATTTATAAACAATGCTCGCATCTCTTGATTTATAAACAAAGAGATCCTTACCAACTTCATCGATGCTCACATTCTGATGTCTTGAGTTTTCTACTTGTAAGTACCTTAATTGATATATGCACCTCTAAAGAAATGTATAACTAGAAAAGAATATAAAGAAAGGCATGTATATTTAAAATTATAAATTATAATTGCATAAATTATTGGGGAGCTTTTCAAAGGCAAAAATGGGAGTAAGGGTATTGAATGTCAAGGAAAGTTGGGTGCTGTCCCCTTGAAAATCTCCTCCAGTAATTTTGATAATCATTCTCTTGAGTGATCTAAAATTATCTATCTTTTTTAACATACTTTTCTTTATTAAAACAGAATATGCTAAGTAGTTACTATACTCGTGTGCTTCCCTGTTAGAGTATCACTGCTTAGGGGACGTCTCCTGAAATAATTTGTAACTTTTGGAGTCACAACATATGAAGTCAATCTGGAAATTTGAAGAGTGAAGATGTCGCTGATGGAATAATAAGAGCCCATTACTTTCATCCTGATAGCTTTTGTTTGTACTAATTTTGTGCAAGAACGTATATGGTGACAGCCAGCATGTTGTTTAAGTGAACCAGACTTTGTGGTCTAAATTCCAGTTGTTTGATGCAGAATAGGCTTCAATGTTCATCTCACTTTTTCTCGTCTATTTTTTCTTTTTTCTTTTTTTCTTTTTTTTTGGCCAACAATTTCTGAGCTACAGTAAGATGTTCTATGTATTTACTCCCACTTGATCTAATCAACAGTTGTGGGAGGCAGTGTTTCCTAAGGAGCAAGGCACTAGACTGGGACTCAGGGAAGCTGGATTCAGGTCTGAGCTCTGGCATTGGCCTGCTGAATGAGCATTAGCACATCTCTTCTTCCTCCCTGTGTCTCAGACCTTGTCCACACTATGCAGCGCCATCAATCTACTTCAGTTATGCAAATAGCAGAGCTGAAGTTGACCTTCTGCAGCATCTTGGTGAGGTTTGCGGGGGCTGCTCTCCCGTCAACACCAGCTATTCTTCTCATCTTGGTGGAGAACTTGTGTAGACTGGAACACTCTCAGAGATTGATTTATCTCCTCTACAGCTGACATGATAAATTGATGACCAGTGGATCGATCGCTGCAGCATCGAACCACCACATAGTGTAGACAAGGCCTTAGTTTCCCCATCTTTAAAATGGGGTTAATGATAATTGCAGCCTTTGAAAAGGCTTACAATATAGGTATATTCTCCATGAAGATGCATGTACTTCAGAGTTAAATTTGGTCTTTGGCTTTTCAGACATAAATTGTATTTTTGTCATGGTCTTTATACAGGAAAAAGAATGAGAGCATGTAAGATCATGTGCATTTCTTTGTGTATTTATTTTCAGGCCCTGCTTGATACGCAGAATCTTTTGAGAGCTCAGATTACAAATTTTACTTTCAACCTGGGATTTTCAGGAAAATTTTACCATACAGGTAAGAATGAAACTCTAAAATCACTTTCATTTTCATTGGAAGTATCTTTGTAATGTAGGGGAAGTAGAAATTACACTGATGATGCAGTTTTGTTATTAAATGTAATTGGATACTGCGGAACTGCAGTCAGGTTCTGAGTAGAAAAGAAAGCTTTCTTCACAAGAATATAATAAATAGAATAGGCTGCCTCAGGGTATATAACTTAATTGTGTGATTATACTGAGTCAAACTCTGCTTTTGAAAGATGATTTACATTGACTAACCCTTGTGGTAAGCAGTATTCTCCATAACAATAGTGTCCTAGGTATATGCATTTTTTTTGCCCAGTTTTCCCACATTGTATTAAGCAAACTAGATCCACCTATCTAGATTATTTTGCATATATTTATATAGTGTCCTTGTGGATTAGAGATATTTTAAAAAGTATCACCTTGGCTGTGTCTACATTGGCACCCCTTTCCGGAAAAGGGATGCTAATGAGACCAGTCGGAATTGCAAATGCCGCGGGGGATTTAAATATCCCCCGCGGCATTTGCAATTCCGACTGGTCTCATTAGCATCCCTTTTCCGGAAAGGGGTGCCAATGTAGACACAGCCAAGGTGATACTTTTTAAAATATCTTACACATGCATTAAGGTTCTATTCAGCTTTCACTCATACCTTCAGTTTCCATGAAGGAAATCCAGGAATGCATATAGGCCAGATCTGTTGCATATATTGAAAAATATACCTGAATATTCATATCTTCTATTCAAAATGGTAATTGTCATGCACAACCAAGTAAAGAATATCTTCAAAACATGGCTTTACATCTAAACTGGTTTGGCAAAGCTCTCTGAACAATTCATTAATGATAAAGTAAGTTTGCAGATGACATGAAGATTGTGGAATTGTTAAGTAATGAATACAACAGATCACTGACATTGAATGGTCTCGATTGCATAGTAATATGGATACAAGCAAACAATATGTCACCAGTTGTAAAGTTATATATTTAGGGACAACAAGTGTAAGAGATAGCTTCCCTCATGGTGTACGTATCTGGAAAGCAGTCACTTGAAAAAGCGTTGGGAGGTGTGGTGGATAATCAGCTGAACATGAACTCCGAAGGTGATGCTTTGGCCAAAAGGGCTAATGCAACCCTTGGCTATATAAACAGGAGAATATGGAGCAGAGAGGTTATTTTACCCCTGTATCTGGCATTGATGTGTCAGCTGCTGAAAAATTGTGTCTAGTTTCTGATGTCCATAATTCATTACAGAAGTTGGTAAATTTGAGAGGATTCAGAGAAGAGCCATAATAATTCTGGAAGGATTGGACAACAATCCTTACTGTGATAAAAACTGGGAACTGATTCTATTTAGCGTACAGAGAAGATGATGGCTAACTTATCGAAGTTTTGAAAGTTGGGAGGAGTTCTAAAGTCAGTGTTGTGCAGGAAGTCAGACTAGATAATCAGATGATCCTTCTGGCCTTAGAAGCTATGAATCTGTGAATGCCATGCTTGTGGTTGCTCCAGCATAAGGGACACTTGAGAAGTACTGAGCAGCTTGAATTAGAATCAAATGTCTTCAATTCCAGCTGTCTTCAACACCGGCTGACTCCAATGAGTACCTCTTCTGATTAGGGCCATTCTTAGGCATATGCAGCATATGCAGCTGTGTAATTTTGGCGTGCCCTAGGCCTCATATGCTCTAGGGCCAACAGGACAGTAAGCAGGTAAGGTGGTCTGTGTCCCTGGAGATCAGGACCAGGGCCATGTCTCTGGGAGAGGGGACCTGAACAGAGCTGCGAGCTGAAGCTGGGGATGGGCATGGGGCTGGGAGTGAGGTAGAGGCTGATAGACCATAGGGGCAGGGCCAGCAGCAGAGCTCTGCGCGGCTCCCAGGACCCTGGGGTTGGGGCCGACGGCAGAGCCCTGGGCAGCCCCCGGGACCCTGAGTATGGGGTTGGCAGCAGAGACTCAAGTGACAGCTGGGACCACACATAAAATTTGGGAGTGCTGCAGTACCCCTCTAGTCCCCACATCTGTCCCTGCCTGCCCTGTTCCTGCCCTCACAGCCCTGAGGGCACCTGCCGTGCACCATAAATCTTAAGGACCACATTGCTCCTGATCAAGTCCTAAATTCCCAGTAGCAGACCCTCTATTCCCACACAGTCTGTGATATCTTTCCACGATCAAGTGTGTTACCAAAGGTATCATAGAGAAGATGCCACTAAAAGTAAACATTGAGGGTATGTCTACACTACCCTCCTAGTTCGAACTAGGAGGGTAGTGTAGACATACCCTACTTGCAAATGAAGCCCGGGATTTAAATTTCCCGGGCTTCATTTGCATAAGCGGGGAGCCGCCATTTTTAAAACCCCGCTGGTTCGAACCCCGTGCAGCGTGGCTACACGGGGCACGAACTAGGTAGTTCGAACTAGGCTTCCTAGTTCGAACTACTGTTACTCCTCATTTCAAATCCCGGGCTTCATTTGCAAGTGCGGTATGCCTACATTACCCCGCTAGTTCGAACTAGCGGGGTAGTGTAGACATACCCTGACAGAGTAAATATTTGTGACTTCACAGAGTAGTCACATATATTTCCTGTTCTCAATACAAGGAAAAACTGTAGTAATTTCTGATTTTTAATAGCAGCCACTTTATTCAGTGTTCATATTTCAAGATTCTAGCAGGCTTAAATTTCTTTCTGTGATCAGTTGATATGCCCTATAGCCTGTCAACAGCAAAATAGGGTGCATATTGCATAATAGGGAGTAAATTGGTGTATATTTCTCATCACTCGATTTTTGCAAAATTGGCTACATAGAACACACGTCATTTCAGAAAAATTTCCCAAGAGGATTTACATCATTATTAAGAAAGTAAATGGTTACTGTTTTCTTGACCAATATGTAAACACCTGATCTTGGCGTAGACTCAATGTGAGATAACATTCAGAGCTTCAGGTTTCAACCATTAATCTTTTCTGTTTCTTAGGATATAGTTTACTGCTTTTGTCTTGCATGTAACACAGTTACAAAATTCCAGTAGGTATCTGTCAGAAAGATATATGGGGAAAAACAAAGAAAAACTTAATCTCTTATAATTTTCATGTTATCTAATTGCTGCTTTTGATCTCCCTTTATGAAATCTTGCTCTTTAAAAGTACATTTGAGAAGAAATTTTATGGATAAGTTTATTGAAAATTAGTCTCTATATTTAGTCATCTAAATCCATATTTAGACACCCAAACAAAAGGCCTGATTTTCAAAACTGTTAAGCACTCAGGAAAGAGAGCAGCAGTTGCTGGTGTTCAGCAATTTTGGAAATCATGCCACTTATTTAAGTGCCTAAATATGGGCACTCATATTTGAAAAGCTAAGGTTTTTTTTTAATCCTTCTTTGATAAATGAAATATAAAGAAAAATGTAAATTCTGAGAACTGGAACTCTCAAGTTGCCGGGTTTGACTGTATAATGTATCTGTTCCAGGAAAGTGCTGAAAGCCCGCTGAAATATTTAAAAGTTCATTGGTCAAAACCCTTAGAATATATTGTCTGTCACCAACCTGCAATGAGGGAAGAAGATGGATATTTCATCATAAATTTCCATGATTGCCGGGTGATAATGTATTATAGCTTACAATCTATGTCATTATTGCACATGTTCTGTGTGGAAAACGCAGTAATATCTCATGAGCAAACTGAGGTCCTTAATCAAGGAAAATTTCCCGCTAAGTTCAATGAGAGTTTTGTTTGAGTAAGGGCCACAGATTTAGCCCTTCATATAACTGACCAAAACACAACTCTGAATCATCAGATAGGTTGTAAAAATATATGCAAGTATAAATAGAGCATCTGTAGACATAAAAAGACAGGATAAGGCACTGAATAGGGAAAAGGGCAGTGTGTTACACAGGGAAGCAGATGTTATATGCTGCTGGAATAAAAAAGTAGGACCACATCAGGGACCGGGAGAGACAAAGGCAACACAAGATAATGTCAGAGTTAAAGGACATTAATATGAAATCAAAGAAATAAGGTGATAAGTAGAAATGAGACTAAGAAATGCAAAATGATTGAGTCAAGCTAAAGTAGAACATAGGATTAGATTGTCTGACTTTTGTGGTGATTACATGGGAGAAGGATGGGATGATAACAATTCTCTGCCTCCTTTCTTGAGTGAATTGGTCCCTTCTAGCATCTCTGAGTCCCTAGGTCCCCCAAGGGGAGGGAGGCAAGAGACAGAACTGGCCAGCTGCAGAGGAGAGCAGGTGCTTTCCCTTCCTGAGGCTGCACAGTCCCTCCCAGAATTTCTGGGATAGCACAGCTCCACATGCAGGTTAGTGATACAAGCTGATCCATATTGTAAAACCATAAATAAGTAGGTTACTATGGAACTGGGCTCAGTGTTGCACCATATTGTTAAAAATCACAAAGCAAATTTCAAGATCCCAAAGGGGTTGCTGTGCCGTTACATCTGACTGCCCTATTTTTCCTTTCTAACTTGATTCTCTAACTCAGTTTCCCCAGATGAAGACAGAGGTAGAATCAGTGGAAAGAACAAAGGAATAAGTCATACATGGTTCATCGGAGAAAGAGGAAGATATGAAGGGGATAGAAGTTAGAGATAGTACAATGTGATTTGGGAGAGAAGTCAGTTTAGTGAAGTAAATAAAATGAATAATCATTACTGAAACAATAATGGCAACTTGATGCTTAGAGAAGCTGAAACAGGATTTTTAAATGTGTGTGGTTTATGGGAAGAAGCACTATACAACTGGATAAGCAGGAAATTGACATGTCATAAGATAATGAGCAATGTAAGAATTAGAAGGGAAGAGAAAGGAATAGAGTGGTATAGGACAGTATGAAGAGGTTGGTAGAGGAATACTTCAGAAAAGCTATGTAATGTAAAAGGTAAATCAGAATAGATGGCAATAGGAGTTTTGTCTGAATAAATTACGCTGAATAAAACTTGTTAACACTGTGATTTATCCTCTTCATTGCATGCCTTTTTATAGGTCCTTTTTAGCTGCTTTTTGTATTAGTTTTGTAATATATGTGTGAGAGAACAGTGTTTTATCATGCATTTTGATGCTTGTAAAATCTGGTGGAGAGGAATGTGTGCTTTTCAAAACTAATTATATCAGGGGAGATGGAGTTTATATTCAGTATATTTTAAAACCTTTATTTAGCATCATTGTAATATCAAATTTCTATTAAATATTTTTGATGCATCAGACTCTAGAATGCTGGTGTTCCTCTTGTTTTTCCTAATGATTTTAACATCATAATAAACCTGGAAATTTTGTTTTGGGGGAATATTTTTGCAGGAACAGAAGAGGAAGACGAAGGTGATGACCTGTTGTTGGGCTCTGTGGATGAATTCTGGTGGTTTCCCCATATGTGGAGTCACATGCAGCCTCATCTCTTCCATAATGAGTCATCACTGGTGGAGCAGATGATTCTCAACAAAAAATTTGCCTTAGTAAGTACCATCTTTGCTCTGTATACTCAGAAGAGCTGTGTGAGAATCAAAATTGGCTTTTTTTCAGGAAATGCTGTGCTTGTTAATTTTATTTTTATTCTGAATCAGATGTTATTCAATGCAAAAAAAAAAACCTGAAATTTTCCATGAAATGAACATTTAAAAAAAAAATTTTGACTCAACTGAAAACTTCAATTCTGATCAAATTTAAAACTTTCTTTCCTATTTTGATGATTTTATTTTACATTATAATATAAAATACATTTTGAAACAAAAAGTTGTATTGAAAATAAAAATCAAATCATTCCATTACAGTAAGTTTGAAATGCTTCATTTTGATTCAGTTTTCTAAACAGAATTTTGTCAACATTAGCACATTTCCTCAGAAAGTTTCACATTTCATGAAGTGGCATTTTCCATAGGAAAAAAATGTTCTGGTGGAAAATTTTCAGCCAGCTCTAATACTGAAGTGCATTATTTGCATAATGAAATATAATCTAAGTCTGCCATTCTGAACTTTTTCAAAGCTCTTTCTCTGCTTTGAAATCTAGTAAAATCTCTTTATGAATATATATTACAATTACACATTTGATCAGTTTATATATAAAAATAGCTATTCTGAAAAGCATTGACTTTGCTAAGTAATTATTTATTCACAGCAAGGTACTGAAAAAAGATATTTCAGAGAGAACTTGAAAGAAAAACAACATGAGAGATACATGTATAAAAAAATTGGGGAAAGCAAAATATACCTGGCTCGATTCTGCCATTCAGTGCCATATAACAAAAACAAGCCAGATGTCCCATTACTCCTGGGGGAATTCTGAGTCAATACTAGCTACATTACTGTTAGGCTGTTAGGGGGTTGGAGGATTTCCTCCAATGCTCTTCAATTCTCCATCCATTGTACTGTAGTTTAAATAAATTATAAAAATACTCAGATTTCATGGCCCCAGCAAATGTCTTTGCTTCTCCACAGAAAAATGACTTCTGATGGGGAAATAAAGGGAAGCCACAAGAATGATCATGGATTCCTCCCCACCAGTGCAGGCAGGTCAGTTTGTCTGGCCAGGGAAGACAGTAGAGACATAAAATCACTGCCAGGACAGGGGAGAGGAGGACTGGACAGTCATGTGTGAGGAACAGTGAGAGACTCAGTGCTTGCAACGTGCTTGCCATGGAGGGGTAGGGTTTTGGAGTATTTCTGAGGAGATAGACATGGGGTAGACACTGTCCCCTCATGCAAGCAGAATGTATTTGCTTGCTTACTCAGTGAATTGTTCACATTGTTCTTAGTGAATTCTCTCAGGAGTATAAAATGGGTGTAAACATTTTAAGGCTCCTTTTCATTGCCAGAGTGCCTCATTTTAAAGGACAGTGTGGCCTTATAAATGCTTATGGTACTTAAGTGATTAGAACTGGACTAATTTTTGGACTGAAAAATTACCTAACAGAATGTCCATGAACTGTTTGTTACTGACCTTTCTTGAGATGGTCAGTAGTCAATGTAAATGGTGAGTTTGAGTCCCTAGCCCTTATTTGCTCTTCAGTTGCCTATGATGTAACTCTGAGCATATGGCTGCATATGACTAATAACTAGCAATAAAGGGTCAGTACTAGCTACATTACTGTTAGGCAGAGGGGTTTGGGGTTTTCCTCCAATGCTCTATCTCATTTAAAGAAATAAAATATGCAGCATTTTAATATGCACAGAAATTTTACTTTTTGGCACAAAATTCCCCCAGGACTATACTTATGTGGATTATACTATGCTACTTATTTACAGGTGTGAAGGCTGCTAATTTTGAAGTATAGTACTCTGATGTAAAATAGATTGTATTGTTTAAAATCATGTTCATTTTCACAATTTAAGGATTCACTGGGAGCTAAACTATGCTTTTGTTTGTGGGGGAGCAAAGGGTTAATAGATAGTAGATGAGGGTTGGGAGAGAAAGCATACGGAGTGTTTCTCCCTTAGCACATTCATATATGAGCGAGCCCTAATTTGGCTCTAAGTGATGGAGAATGTAAGGAGAGTCAGATGAGATTTGCTACTGACAGGGCTAGGAGCCCAAGAGAGGCTGTTTCTTGATGGCACATGGCTACAACTCCCCTTGGTTTTCTAGAACTATTGGGCATAATTCTCCGTCACTTATTCTATTGTAAACCAGGAGTTTGAAATCGGTGGAATTGTACTGGTAATATTAGAGGAGAGTTGAATCCATTATACTGTTACAAATTGTGTCACTTTGTTTTTACTCCCTCACAGAAAATGTGAACATTTAATTTTATTATATTGGTCGGAATATTCATTAATTTACAATTAACTTTTAATGCAAAGACTAACTGAAACACACAAAGAATGACTCCAACAACAGAACATTGTTCTAGTTGCTTTAGAGATAGCTGCTAAGTTGCAGGTCATGTTAAACTAAACACTTCCAAAATATGTGGAATAGTCATTTTTTATCTTACAGCAGTTTCTCTCAAAGTGGGCTCCCAATCCACTTTGAGAATGCTGCTAACGGTCGGCTCCAGTTTGTTTATCTAAAGGTTCTGTAGCCACAAAGGCTCACGGCTCCCATAGGCTCTGGCTCACCATTTAAAAATAAACACCATGGACCAAATCTCAAACACTACTCTTGCTGTTATGTGCTGCTTATAGAGCACAAAGCAGCTGGACAGTTGGCTTCATTATAGCCTGAGAATTCCCCCAATTCTAGGACTTGCTAGGACTGGTTTAGCACTTTCTACATTAAAACCATTCCAATGCACAGTATAGGGAGCCCAGTTAAGGTGAGGAATATGCAGTCATAGATTTGTTAAATCTGTTTCATTCCCCCAACCATTTTAACAGCCCTTGGGAGCCACTAGCAGCTGGTATAATGTACAGAAACCTTAGTTGGCTTGAAGCAAAAAGCTGTACTAGGTATACAAAGCTTGGCCTTAGTAATCTGCTCTTATGAGCCTTTCTCTTGAAGTCTGCTTAGTCTTTCCTTAGTTAAAATTTTGCAGAGGATTTTGTGTAGGTAAATGAATCTGATTAAATAAATGGGAGTTCTGTGAGCGGAGAAAGTGCAGAATTGGATCCTTTGTAAGGATAGTATAAAGCAGGGCTGGGCATAAGAATGAAGTGGTTCAGCGGGGTTAGCCCCTGATGGGCCACTGCCATTTTATTTAACTGCATCTTCACAGGTAAGGGTGCTTGCAGCTCCCATTGGCCATGGATCGCCATTCCTGCAGGTGTTGCCAAGGGGTGGCCAAGGAGTGTTGCAAGTGCCCATACCTGTGGTGGTGCAAGAAAATATAGCTGTGGTGGCCCACCAGGGGCTAACTCTGGCAAAGTGCCCGCAAACCGGTTATTACACCACCATCAATGCTGTAAATCATTGATTGCTTTGTTGAGGGCTAACTCTGGCAAAGTGCCCGCAAACCAGTTATTACACCACAATCAATGTTGTAAATCATTGATTGCTTTGTTGGAATACCATCACTCTTCCAATATTCCATTCTATTATTTTTCTTTTACAAACTGCACCTTGGCTCTTAGATCCTAGCAGTTAAAAAAATGTATGCATTGAAACACAAAGTTTTCACCACAAGGAGCATTGATCTACTGTAACTAAGACTCATTGTATTGTTTGTACTAGTTGTATACACATAAGATACGCTTCCGACATACAGTTTACTAGTGTGTGTTTAAAATCTTTGGCCATATGCTTTGGTGGGAAAAAACCACTTTGTCAGATGCATCTAGGGTTACCAGGTGGTTTAAAAAAAAATACCGGACACGCTTGATCTCAGATGGGGGGGGAACACTGGCTGGGAGGGCAGCGGGGCTAGCTGGGAGGATGTGTAGGAGGGGGGTAAACCAGCTCGCAGGAAGCAGGGCTGGGGGGGGGGCGGGAGCAGCGGGGCTGGCGCGGCGGGGAGCG